ATATATATATATATATAGCAAAATAGTCGGATAATATCAGACAAGGATTCTATAAAATTTTAGACGTGTGTGGCAATATTTATCAAGCTACTAACAAATTTACTTACACATAAGAGCCGGAACCTTTCCAGAAAAAGGAAGCAATGTTATTTGTAAGCTATTGTGCATTTTTTTTTAAATACGTGCGATTGAAAGGATGTTTTAGTATAAAAGAATATAATGACATTTAATTGTTATCATTCAAAAAAATAAAATTTTGGAAAAATCTAAGATATCTGATTATTTTTCTACATTACGTTTTCTTTTTGCAAATACATGAAATTCAGTATATTATAAATACGCTCGTGGCTATATTTTCTATGATAAATATGACTTTTCATAATTACTCAACAACACCTATCAATTAATTTAGCAACATAGAGATACAGGTCGAGGTACATTGCGAATTATTTTAACATAATAATGCGCGAATAAAACCAGCCAAATCATTACCGCCTATTTTGCATTACTATTTGTTTCTCTTATTATTGTCGTATCATTTATCTCTCTCTCTTTTCTCTTATTCTCTCTGTAATTATATTTACTCTTTGCACTCTTTTATCAATGAAATTAATTTCGGTATATAATTTACTATTTATTAAAATTTAAATAACAAAATTACATTTCGAATAAGTTAGTTTTAGCTCTGCTAAAAGAACGCATCGTCTAGTTCCTATACAAAATTTAACGTTGTGGCGATAAATAAGGTCGCCGGTAATTAAGTCACCTTTGACTTTTGCTCATTGCACGCGTAAGCTGGCAATTCAGCTCGCGTGAGGTTACTTTTCATTACTGCTCTGGTGAGTAATTCGTCAATTGACCAGTTATTTTATGATTGTAAAATATCTGCTCGTAAAAAATCAACATTTAATATTAGTCTATTATTTTCTAAAGACAAAAAAGAAATATTTATTAAAGTCTTAAAGTACTAAGTCCTAAAGTACTATAAATGCGTTTAAGCATCAACGTATGTTTTTCGTTGCTCGTGAATTTATGTTCACATGTACAGTCTAATAAGATTCTTGTTGTTTATGCTCACAAAATTGTGGAAAAAGACATTTTATGGTAAATTTATCTTGAATTAAATTTTAATCTGTACATAAATCAGTTATCTGTATTATCTGTACATTTACATGTAATATAATAGTTGTTACTAATAACAAATTTAACTATAATCTAAACATATCAAAATCAAATGATATGTAAATGTACTAAAGTGACTAAACCACAAAATTTGATCCTTTTAATGTTGTCAAAATTGCTATACATATAATAATAAAAAATTGCTATATTATTTATTCAATATGAATTACAAAAATGATTTAATCAATTTAAATCATAATAAAATGCGAATGTTAAAAATACCAAAAGTAATATATTTTAATTCTTCGTTCAAGTTGCACAAGGATCTTCGCAAAAGCGAATTTCGCATGTTAGAAGGCGTGTCCCCACTCTTGTCATTATGTTACTTGGATAACTATAACCGTTACGGACTGTTAATCTACGTTTCAGTGCGTCGCACGTTCTATGTTATCTGGAATCTTCTGAAATCGGTAACGTTTCTCACATTGCGCAACGATTAGAATACGGTGAGAAAAGCGGATGAGGGCTCGAAATAAAAGAGATCGAGTAAAAAAGATCGCAAAATCGTCCGTTTCTTACGAAATCCACTGCTTTTTTTATGCCCATTGCGTCACTCTGTTCATATTTAATCAACGTTAATATTTAATCAACTCTCTCGAGAGCAAAAAAATTACCGTCTGCTTTTATATTCCGTCTGCTTTTATACTCTTCCACGAAATCGCCTTTGTCGTTGGCACAAATGAAATTAATTGCCATAGGGCGAAATCAGGTCGTAGTGCGTAATGAGATGATCTATTTTACTTCGCTAAGTGGCGTATAATGTCATTAATTTTATACATCACGGTACATACAATTGAGTTTAGTTTCGACATAAAACGGAATTTTACACGAACCCTTTGTTCGACAGATATTAACAGATATTATATTTGTTATAATTAAAAAGAGCCACGTATAACAAAAATTATTTGCATTAAGAATATAAGTGTAAAAATGAATTAGTATTAAATTATTTAGAATAAAATATTCCGAACTAATCATATGAAAAAAAAAATAGTATTAATTAAATTGACTGAAACTGATCTTTTGGAGATTATGAGATGCTGATCAAGTTAGGCAAAAAAATGGACTCTATTTAAAAGTTGCTATTTTTAATCTAATCAGACTAAAAAATATCTTTACTTATCAAATTATTCATTTTTTTATAATCGTTTCTTAATATTATACTTTTATACAGAATCTTGAGATGAATCAAATAATGTATGTAAAAAAAATATATAGTGGTTTTTAAAAAAATTATGCAATATGCATATTTGCGAACTATACGCTGTACAAAATAAAATGTTAATTTCAACTTAAAGACGTATAATGGACTTTCCGAGCATGCAAAAATATTAAAATTGGCAAAAAAAATTAATTTTCACATTTTTGCGTGTCTCAGGAAGTCCACTATACGTCTTGAAATTAAAATTAATATTTCATTTTTTTAAACGGTGTACTTTTTTTTAAACAACGATGTATTTTTCTTTACATCAGTTAATTTATCTCATTATTCTGTGCATAAAAATATTTAGGTATAGATATAAAAAAATGAATAGTTTAGATATTTACTTGTCAGTCCAATTAAACTCAAAATAAGCAACTTTCAAACAGATTAAAATCTACCTATTTTTTTTTACAATCATCTATGAAAATTTTTGATCAGCACACACATTTCATAATCTATAAAATATTACAATTTTAGCTAATTGAAACCACTGTTTAACCACATATAATTAGTGCCTACGCTACATTACTTTATTTAGCATCAATCGCGATTTAATCAATTCATCATTAATCTTTTATCTACATCTGCAAACTAATCTTTATTCATAAATTATAGCCTATTAATAACTCGCTAATTTAATAGTACTGATCAAAATTAATTGCAATCTCATTGATTTGCTTTACTTTGATCTTTATACAATAAAATGTATTCACGGCGAATATTTTCAATATTCAATCCTCATCCAATTGTAATACATCACAAAATGGTCGCTTAATAAATTTTCATTCATTTACTATTTAATGCTTATGCATTTAACGTATATATTAAGAAGGTGACGAATGAGAGAAACTATTCAAAAGATATTTAGGATGTTTTTCCGTTGTAATTGCACACCGGTGGTCTTTTTCTGGTTGAGAAACCGGGACGCATTTTTCCTCCCGCTTCGTGAATTGAATCTGCTCGAGTTTCTTGGTCATTGTTTCGCGTTCTCGGCTGCATTTCGAACTGCAGCTTCACCGCCTCTTTTGCGTAATCCGGTGAAAGCCGCATTCATTGCGCGCCTCTGCCAATTTCCACGCGCTCGGTCTACTTCCGTCGTCCTAATCTGCGTGAGATCTTGAAGAAATCTCGTATGCTTAGCAAGCTTATAAGGATCTGCAAACTGCGAGAAAAATTATTGCAACGGCATAAGATAAGTAATGTATTTCGCAGATTACGCTCCATGTTTTCAATTGTGTTTCGTATAAATTTCGCAATTTAATCACAGCTTTTCACTTTCACAAAGAAAACTCTGATGTGCAAATCAAGAAAATTGAACTGTTTAACTTGATATGCACGAAAGATAAAAAGGAAAAAATTGAATATGGCTATCAATTAACCAGTAATTTCATTCTCCTCTATTATGCATAGTTAATTCTTTCTCATTCGATTTCATCAATTATTCTGTTCTATTACTTTCATTTGTTGTTTTAAATTACTGTTCAACGTATGTCTTCTACTTTTACACGCATCATCTCGCAGTCAATTAAAACTTTATGTTTCGAAATCAATAATCTGTATTTCAATCTGGTATAATTTTAAATATCACATTGTTCACACAGTAAATAAGTGAGCCACATTCATTCCATCTGCGATTTCTCATTTCAGTTTCACGGATCATCCGCGAATGTGGGTCATAGTTTGCGCGCATGAATGCCGCAATACTGCATCAAAAACTCTCTTCGCCAACGACCTGAAATTCCGATCATTTCGTGTAACTGCGACCATAGATCGTTGAATATTGCGGGTTTCGTTTGAGCAGCAGTTTCCGTCTCACTCGACCGACGAAACGCGTAAAAATATCGCTGGCTCGATTCCAGGCGGCCGATCTTCTCGCGTAAACACTGGGAAATTGTTCCACCATCTTTCGGCATAATCGTAACGAGAAAAGCAATTTCTTTTTAATAAATAAAACAGATAAAAAAGCGAAACTAATTGGATACGATAATTCGAGATCAGAAAGTAGGCTGGTGTGATGTGTAGTTTATAAAATTAGTCTTTACCTACTAAAACGCTCGGACAGACCGACAAATTGCACGAACTTTTTTATAGCCGCATCAAAATTATATGTATATTTTTTAGAGATAATATTCATAAAAATATATTTACGCGAGAACACACTTACACTCCACGAAAAGATGATTGTTATCATGCTCGCGCAACGAAGACAATTCCGGATCCAAGGTATGCCTGTGTTGAGATCCTCTTCTTGGCAACGTAGAAACTCGTAATAACGGCGCTATATAAACATTATATTTGTGTTGACAAATCCAAAGTTACGAGAATATGAAAAGGATAAGCATAACCTCATAGAATTATATAATGCCAGGCATAGAGAGATAAGAAAAACAAGATTTTCACGTGTATTTACAAGATGTTGTCAAATTAGTAAAATGTTTCCAAGTTAGTAAAAAGTAAAGCATAGCTTGGAAAAATGTTTGGACAATATGTTATAGATTTTTTTAATATTAAGGAAGAAAAAATGTATTGTATTTTTAAGCAAATGTAGCAAATATTAATACGTATTCGTTATTAATATATGTATTAATAATATTGTGTGTTGAATGCGCGCTCCAATAAATAATTATGCGTTCGATAAGCATAGGTAAACTCATCTTTCAGATGGAAAGAGATATTTAACTCAGAAATAGTCTAGCTGAATTGTTAGGATATTTTTACACCTCAATTAAAATTCTCTATTATTGATTATATATTGTATATTAATTGAATGTATTACAGTTTATTATTGTAGTATTTGTAATCATTATGTATATAGATAGACAGCATGAATTTTTGAATTAAATTTAATCGTGATATCCATCCAGTGAGTCTCTAATGTTAAGTTTAAGTTTTAAACTTATTAATTTATTTTTTAAACTTCCTTTAAAGAACCCATGGATGGATTCCATAATCGAATTTAACAAAAGTACCTGTCTCAAGTTACCTACATTTGCAGTATATAGACTGTTCTATATTAAAAAAACATACGTTGAAATAAAAATAAGTATAGATTCACGATCAGTAAAGAAAACTATTGTGAGCTTTATTTTCTTGCTGTTAAAGTATAAAAATTTTAGGTGACTATTCCCGGGTTAAGAATCATATTCAAATATTTAAAACCTACTACAAGCGTCGATTGATTGAGAACCACTGCCGCAATCAGAAAACCAGATAAGACTGACAAAATACGGAAATACTTCCGTAACTCTACCGCGTTGCACATGTATCTAAACTGTGAACGTATATGCATTGACGTACGATTGAGAGGCTGCGAGGGGAGAGGAAAAAAGATTTAATACACACATGCTGGTCCATTCATTCGTCAAAATAGTGACTGTGTAGTAATCTGCTGAAACTGTCATACAAACACATACCCGCATACACCGCGCCATACATTTGCATTCGATAGTTTGTGATATTATATTTGTTTTCGTAACCTACTTCTTTCAGAGTTAACGGAAGTAAATTTTGACATAGCATTGTGATATATTCCTTCAATTATATTTTTTCGAATTTTATATATAATACTAATTTATTAGTCATGTTATAGATTTATATCGATATTACATATATTTTTATACAATTGTTATTATTGTCTTATCTATCTCAAACCTTCTTTTTCTGTGCTATCTTTATTTCCTTTTTCTTTCCAATATAAAAGCAAAATTTTACGTAACGTTATATGTAATAATAGATTCGTCATAAATTACAGATAAATTACAGATACTTTGATTCTATTTCTGCAGTTCTTTTGTTTGAACCTGTCAAAATAATTATGTAACATTCAAACTTGTTAGAATGTTAAAACTTTTTGCAGCATCAACATTTAAGCGTTTTATTATATATTTATGTGTTTCGATAGTTTAAAAATAGATATTTTCAGATCTGTTATTATTGTTTTATCTATCTCAACTTTCTTTGTCTGTGCTGTCTTTATTTTCTTTTTCTTTCCAATATAAAAGCAAAATTTTACGTAACATTATACGTAATAATAGATTCGTCATAAATTACAGATAAATTATAGATATTTCTTAATTATAGATTCTATAATATTTCTATAGTTTTTCTATTCTACAGTTCTTTTGTTTGAACCCGTCAAAATAATTATGTAACACTCAAACTTGTTAGAATGAATGTTAAAACTTTTTGCAGCATCAACGTTTAAGCGTTTTATTATACATATTTATGTGTTTCGATGATTTAAAAATAAGTATTTTCAGATCTGTATCTTAAATTTTTAGATACTTTAGTAAAACTGTTTTCTTATTTAAACAATATTTTAAAATAATATTCTTGAGGCTTCCACGGGTGCTTTCTATATGAAAATTATGAAAATTTCGCGAGCTTTCTCCGTGTTCAGATCCATTCTTAGGATAATATTATTGTCAATCTTAGGTTCAGCAAACATTTTTAAGCGATGTTTACATAAATATATTTAAATGTACTCGTATATCGCCACAAATCGCAAACCAGGTTGCAAATAAAATCGATAATCGATTCATGTTTTATCTCGTCTGTCGTGTGTAGTGATCGGACTACATTGATATATGTATTGCAACATATCATTGGATTTAGATGCATTGTCACCGATTGCGCTATACGTAGTCATTGTTGCTGAAGCGTCACACCGTTTCATTAGCAAAGAGACAAGAGAAAGTTGACGCGACCAATTTCCAAATCATAGTTGAATTACACATGTTTACATTAATGATGCGCAATAAATTTACTTTTAAGACCCGTAATTCCTGCAATTTATTTCATCTATATTTTTACTCCGTGTGTTGCATCTACAATTTCATAATACTTATACAAATATATAATATTTATAAATTATTTTATTATGTTATAAATTATAATAATATTTATATGCTTACATAAATTCATTCAAAAGAATGATTTTGAAAGAAGCACTCACAGTGATGTAGCACGTGCATGTATACAATGTAAAATTAATTAAAGTTAGAATTAATTCTATCAATCTGTATTGGATACTTTTGCAATTAAAATATAAAATGAAAAGTTTGTAATAAGTATAATCGTTTCTATTTTAGTTTTTTAAAATGATCAAATAAAGACTTGAAAAAGACTTGAAAAATTTTCCATACTTTGCAAAATAAAGTTACAGATTTAATTGAATATAAAAAAAATACAAAAATAGCTTTCAATTTTGTAAAAAACAAACTCAAGAATCGAGAGAATTTTAATCATTTTGCGAATTGTGAAAAAAGAAACAATAAGGTGTGGCTCTTAATGAGGAAAGATCATCAAGTCATCAACCACGCTGTATTTCCGGTGCGAAATAAGCGGACACACTCCTTCTTTCCGTACAAGGAGATTGACTCATACAACGTAGGAGGAGCCAGATGAACCTAGCCCACTACTTAATACGATAATTCCATTTGGAAACTAGATTCTCAACCGATTCATCCAATTAGCTTATCACATTATATGTACCATTATATGTAATTTTAAGAATACATCTAGCATTAAATCAATAAAAAATACTGTATATATTTTATCTCAATCTATAATTTTTTAAGATAATACCCTCATAACGTTGTTTTCTGTACTGCATAAAAAAAAACAAAAATAAGAATATTAAAGAAATTATATTACAAATTTATCATTTATTACTTAATAATCAAATCTCTATTTAATAAAAAAAAGAACGAATTTACTAATCTTACATTATTATATTCGTGGTTCCAAAACAGCATTTGGCTAATTAACAAACTCATTTTGTTAATCCATTGTTCTTGGTGATCGAGAATATTCCCAAGTTGAGCATATTTAACATAGATTGGACATAAGTATCTACGTCGCATAATTAGAGCGCTGTTTTACGAGCTGTTGTAAGAAGAAGAGAGTGCGGAGATACAATGGACTATCGCGGTTCTTAAAAGGCGAGCGGCACTCATAATTACTGCATTCGGATTGTGTGCGACTTCAGAGAAAAAGAAAGTATTCTACGGGCCATAAAACATTACGGCAAATTCGCGCTCGAATTGGTTTCTTCGGTAAAAACAAATTTTATTCAGTAAATCGTGATGAACTGCAAGATGATTCTGATTATTATTATACTGAATAAAGAAATATGCACAAAAACGAAGTCATTTCTTAAGTTGCCATTTATTATCCGATTATAATTGTTCAATCTTGGAAATCATACTTATAAATTAATTTATCATCTAATTTATTGGTATAAAAAAATTTATTGGTATAAAGTAAGGAAGTAAAATTATTCAAGTATTAATATTCTTAATGCATTAAATACATAATGCATTAAATACGCAGAAACTGTTTTGTTCTGAAACTCTATAGTCGGTATAATCTAATGTTGTTTTGTAAAAGACATCACGGCAAGTATTATCTCATAAAAGTAAGTCACAAAAGGCTCTCGTCTTTTAGAGAAATTCAAAGAAACGCGTAAAAAGATACTCTTCTCATCCTTCGATCATTTTCTAGCCCTTTGGCGTTTGCGCACCCATCTTGTCTCGAGATTCCACCTCGCAAAGAAAGAGATTGCGGATGCATGTTGCAGAAATGCGAAGACGAGAGTGGGTGAAGAGAACGTAGAAATCGCACTCGCACGAAAGCGGAGAACGCGAAGAGTAAGGCGGCGGAAGAGGAAAGAACCCTCGAGGTTTGAGAAAGACAAAGCCGCCATTACTCTCGTCCTCCAGCTGACGGTACGCGTCGTAAAGCTTCTAATTATTAATGTACCTGAGTGGAATACGATCCCACAGCGAAAGAAAGCAACCGGATAAATGTACAACCAAATAATTTTTGTTACATTTTTCCGCAGGGCTTGGTAAAATAACTAATACGACTTATTTAAAATGTAAAATATAAAGTAAGTTCCAGAAACTTATTTAAAACATAAAATCGTAGGGGTCGGTAAAAAATCGATACAACTTATTTAGAATAAAACATATAAAATAATAGATTTCGAAAACTTATTTAAAATATTAAATGAGAAATATATGTAGATCAGAAGAAATTACTAAAAATAATAAACATTAACTAACTCTTTTATTTATTTATTTTTTTTTTTATTTAAAGTATATAATATTGAAATGACTTTATTTTAAATATAACCGAATCATGTTTTTGCGCATTATATAATTGCCAATTTTTTGAAATCATACTTATTAAAGTAACGTTATTAGGCCCTCAACTATAAAATATCCATTTTTCGTATTATTATTACTACAAAATGTCCACATGTTTTTAAAAAAA